GATTTCTTTTTTTTATGAATTGAATTCTATCCTTTAAAAATGTGTTGTGATCCTAACCTCTATGGTTGTGGTTATAATCCCATTTGGGAATGGGTAATCTCTGTTAATGAGTCAGGATTAGTTTAGGACGCAAATCTCTTTTGAGATATAAAAGACATTAAAGAAGTGAGCGAGAGACATGGGGTAAGAAAGATGCTAAAACACAGAGATCACCAAGGAACCAGAAGCAGAAACTGAAGATATAAGGACCTTTCTCCGGAGCCAACAGAAAGACAAAGCCTTTCCCTAGCACCAGCATTCTAAATTCAGACTTCTAGTCTCCTAAACTGTGAGGAAATAAATGTGCTTGTTCAAGCCATCCACTTGAAGTATTTCTGTTACAACAACACTAGATAACTCAGTCAGTAAGAATGTCTAAGATAAAAAGCAGCATCTTTTTAATTATTAAAAAATCGTATTTTAAAAATTACTGGAGACAATAAAGATCAAATAGCAATTAATTAAATAAGATCTTTCAATTAAAGGACCTAGATAGTTCTTTGACTTTTTATCCACTTGCTTAACTATTAGATTCAAAAGTTTATAAGCATCTTCCAAAACATACACACATCCCAACTCTCAAAAACAAAAGACCTAATAGAGTATAAAGATATTCAAGCGTATAAAGATTTTCTTAATTTACTAAGTGAAACACTTGCAGTAAAGAGAAAGCCACTTAAAATTTATCTCAGGAGAGAAGTTTTCCAAATAATTTTCTCAGTCACCTTTGAAAGATAGATACTGCAAAGTAAGCATGAAATTCTGGGACCATGGGCATTCCCATGTTACTAACAAGATCTGTTCCTCTGTCTTTAAGTCGAATTTGTATTAAGTTGGACCAGGTGCACATTAGTTCTTATTTAGCCTTACTTTAGGACAAGAAAAGGCTTGAAGCCTTTTCAATGATTTAAAAGCTGCACATGCAGCAAATGATGTGCAAGTGATGAAGAATCTGTTGTGAATAGGCTTTGTGGTTCAATCACTTCAAAGTGAGGGCAAATTTACGTAACATTAAAGGGTTTGTTGTTGTTGTTATGTGCCATCATTGGCCCCTCCTTGGGTTTCCGAGGCAGTATCACTTTGGGAGCTCTCGTAGCATAGTGGCTA